ATTATGCAAAACTTATTTCTAAATATCCACGAATGTAACATTGTTGTAGTTAAAAATCCAAGCCCAAACACGAGCCTTGAAAAAAATTGAAGAAAATCTCGTAGATGCTACTTTATATCAACAATGTTAAAGCTTAATTATGTTTATCGAAGATGATGAATTATTCCTTTTTAAAAAGATTTATAAAGTCTTAGAAAGTTTTATAATGCTTTATAAACTCGTATTAGTTAGTATTTAGCAATATTTTAAAAAGTTTTATAATGCTTTATAAACTCGGATGAAATGAATTTTAAAATTTTTTAATCATTTTAAAGGATTTTGCACTTTTTTAGTAAGGATGTGTAACCATCAGGCCACATAACCATTCGTTCATTATACAAAACTTATTTCTAAATATCTACGAATGTAACATTGTTGTGGTTAAAATCCAAGCCCAAACACGAGATTAAAAAATCCAAGAAAATCTCGTAGATGCTATTTTATATCAACAATGTTAAAGCTTAATTATGTTTATCGAAGATGAGGAATTATTCCTATTTAAAAAGATTTATAATGTTTTAGAAAGTTTTATAATGCTTTATAAACTCGTATTAGTTAGTATTTAGCAATGTTTTAAAAAGTTTTATAATGCTTTATAAACTCGTATGAAATGAATTTTAAAGATTTTTAATTATTTTAAAGGATTTTGCACTTTTTTAGTAAGGATGTTTAACCATCATGCCACATAACCATTCGTTCATTATGCAAAACTTATTTCTAAATATCCACGAATGTAACATTGTTATGGTTAAAATCCAAGCCCAAACACGAGATTTAAAAAAAATCCAAAAAAATCTGGTAGATGCTATTTTATATCAACAATGTTAAAGTTTAATTATGTTTATGAAAGATGATGAACTATTCCTTTTTAAAAGATTTATAATGTTTTAAAAAGTTTTATAATGCTTTATAAATATTTAAAGTTCTGTATAGAACAATCAGATGTGGTTTATTCACTATACGTTTTTACATGAAACAATTAGATGTGGTTTACTGGTTCTACCACTTTGCAATTCTCTGGAATCACTAATTTAACAATTACTAGGTGATCGGTCCGCACCGTGTGCGGACAATATGATATTTTATATATTAAATATAAAAATTGAAGATAAAAACATTAACCCAGATTTTAAAATACTTCATTAGATAAAAAGTATAAATATGATAACTAAATAAACTGAAAATATTAAAAATATATAATAATTTATTTAATTTTTATGGTTGGTCCGCATGCATGTGCAAGTATATTTTTTTTATAGACATAATTAGTTGTAATCTTTAAGTATTGATTAATTTCTTATACATATATAAGCATTATGTGTTTATAAATATTTATTTTTAGCGTTTAACAACAATCACACAAACATTTCATATCATTTTGTGTCTTTGGAAAACTTAATATGTAAGCGTTACGTTTTTATACATATACAATTTTTAGTCTTTAACAACAATCACACAAACGTTTCATATTGTTTTGTGTCTTTTGAAAACTTTTTGTTTTTTCTAACATTTAGAGTAACATGTAATTGCAAATGTAAAAGTTATATTAAATAATAATTAAATTCTTATTATATGTTTTGAATATTATCTATATTATATTTCTTTTTCCCCTTGCACAATATAATCTTATCAATATATATATATTTTAAGTATACATTTTTCCTTGACATATTGCTAAGTAAATAAAGATGGGTTTTTCATCACTATTAATCCTAAGAGCGGATAGATGGGTAGTTGGTGGCCGCACATTCGTGCATACCAACCACCTCACAGCTCTTAGGACATATAGAAATTTTTAAATAAATACAAATTGACTAATAATTAAAATTATAATTCTACGGTAATCGAGGTTAAGAAATTGTATGCACAACAAGTTTGCATGCAACTTTAATTTTTGCACAATTAATATTTATATCTACACGTATATTTGTGAATCGAAGTATGACTTTTATGTGTTGAAAGAAAATAACAAAATATATTTTTATAATGTATGAATGATTTTTTTAATAAAAAATATGTATATTTATGCATGTAGGTATGAGTTATAAATAAGTGAATTGTAATATTTAGGTGTTGGTTAGTTTTTTTTTATATTTTCCGCAAACATTATGATTTTACACAATACAATTTTTTGGCGTTTAACAACAATCACAAAAATCGTTTCTATCGTTTTGTATTTAATCAAAATTACTTGCATTTTATGATATATAGTTTCTCAATCAAAATTATAATAAAAGTTTTATTATAAAGTTTGTGAATTCTTATTTTATAAAATTCTTCGGTTGCTCTCCGCTAAACTCTTCATCAATTTTTTCTTCTAAAATATAGATGAATTTCTCTCCAACTAATTTCTATTTTAATGGAAAAAGAAAGATTGTTACTTTTTCCTCCAATTATAGAAGAAAAAATAAAACCGTTATTTTTCCTCTAAATTAGAAGATTAAAAAGTAAAGGTGGGTTGGAGATGCTTTAAACCAAAGACATAGCCTGAGATTTTTACAGAAAATCAAAGTCATAAAGATTTATTTTTACTTTTACTTCTACTTTTTATTTATATGTTTATATTTAAAATTTATAATAAATATTTATTATAAAATTTGTGAAATCATATTTTATAAAATTCTCCGGTAGCTCTCTGCTCATCTCTTTGTTCAATATTGAAGAAATGGTTTGATGAAGAAAATAAATTTCTTATGCTTGGTCTGCATGCATGTGTTCATTATAAAATTTGAGCCACACATGTGTTTATTATTAATTATTTTTTTAAAGATTTTTAAATGACTCCATAAAACAAAGTTTGAAAGTGTTACGGAAAGCAAAACTGTAGAGATTTTTTTCTACTTCTACTTCTTATTCATATTTGTTTTTTTTTATTTATAATTTATTTTTTCATCCGGTTATATTGCGTTTTATTTCTGATCTCACATTCTCGATCTACAATGAGACTGTATATGAGTATAATATAAATTTTTAATTTATGTTAAAAAAAGATAAGAGATCAAATGAAATGATAATGTAAGCTACGTAAATTCCAGAAAATAATAATATAAAAATATCAAAAATATTATATACAAATAATGATATATCATACCCTCTCAACATTATTAATATATAGTGTATTTTATCTTATTGGATAATCTATTATTATTTTTTATTTAAAAATATAAAATATATATTGGTTGTAAAATTTTCGTAATCATATTTTATGCAATTTATTATGAATATATGTAAAAACAAATTGAAATCATAGTAATTATTATTTTATATTTATTTAAATTTATTAACTTAGTGTTATAATGTAGTGTATTTATGTTATAATTTTTAATTATTTAATTATAATTCAACCAATCAAAATATTTCGTTTATTTTAGGAAATTTGCCATGTCACAATTCCATGTTACCATTAATTTACACTAATTTTTACTAAGATGATGACACATCAGATTTTTTCATTAAACATGCTTCTCAAATAATAGTTAAGATTACTAAAATAAATTTTTGGTAGATATAAATGCAATATCGTAAAATATTTACATTGTATGATTCTAATTAGTAATTTCCTTATTGGTCGGCGGGGGTATTGTTATTTACGGCCATTGAAAATTAATAAATTTATAGACAATTAAATGCAATTGACTGTATTTAATAAATTGATCGGGGTTATTAGTTTTCTATATTTAACATTATATCTATATTAGTAAATGAATTATTGACTGTACGAAAATGTTTAAAAAAAATGTGTATCGTAATCTATATCACAAAATAATCACTTATAAATCAAATTTCCAAAACATATATATCACTAAAATATTGACTGTATCGAAATCAATATCACTAAATGAAAAATTGACTATCGCATCCTACTATTAGGAAACTGAATAAAAACAGATGAGTTTTGTAAAGTAACTGAGATTTGATAAAACCTGCAATTTTCGGTGTCCGCAACCAACGCAGAACCGCGTGGCTCTGGAAACGCAGATCAGTCTGCAATCACAGAGGTTAAATAAGCACAAGAGTTATATAATGATGAACATGATCCGGTTAAGTACAAAGAGTTACAATGATGTGAACATGAATTTGTTTGATATCCATCACACAAATACCTTGATCGGAACTTGCAATCTTCGGTTTGTAAAAAGATCATTCAAATCCGCGTGATATGAACATGAATTTGTTCTGACTCTCATAATATTTTTGCTAAACTACGCGTCGGTTCATCTCTTATCCTGCGCAGACATTCTTCCCAATGCACGGACTCAAAAACAAAACAAACAAAAAATTCCTAAAATCAAAGCGCACACACACGTGAGACGAAATTTTAAGGAAGCAAAAATAGAACTCACTTCTCTATGAATCGCTTCTTCTCATCGTCATTCTCTAGTTCCGAGAGGAATTTCTCAACCTCCGCCGGCGTCGGACTAGTGTCCACCTCCCGTGGTTTTTTCCGGTCATATTCGATAACGAACAATTTTACTCTGTCTTCTTCATATCTCGTCTCTTGATCGGAACTTGCAATCTTCGGTTTGTAAAAGAATCATTCAATTCCGATCATGAGACGAGATAGGTTCCAACTGACCCACAAATTATACAAAAAAAGATGGCTTTTTCTCTTATTTCGGTTTATAAAAAATCAATCCCCAAAATACAAAAATCAGAACTTGCAATCTTCGGTTCAATAAGCAAAGAGTTGGAGTTGAATGATTCTAAGCATCTAAAGAAAGAAAGAGAAAGAAAAGTAGTAATAACATATGAGGAAGATCTCATCGTCATTCTCCTCTCTTCTTAAGTATTTGTCTCCTCTAAACAGCCCGGGAAGAAGATCGGAAAAAAACTCTTCGATTATTTTTTTTCTATTTCTAAGGAACAAACAATTTTCCATTTTTAGATTTAAAATGTCCCAAATCATTATTCCAAATCAGCATTAAATTGTACACATCAGCAATTTTTAGTAAATGGGGTTGTCAAATAATATATAAGATTTAGTTATTATAAAGATTTAAAAGCTCTTTTTAAATATTTATACATAATTAATACATCATTTGATAAAATCCAAATAAGTTTTCGATACAATTTCTGCAATAATCAAAAGAATAGGGTTTTTTTCCTATTTAAACAAATGAGATCCACCATGGAGGATAATTGTTCCAATAATTCGAGTGGTGATGTGAGTTTTCCAGTCAAGAGCTGATCTTGCAAGACAAAAGTCAGAAACCTACAAAACATGAGAGATCAAAAAGCCATCATATAACTGAAAACCCTGAAAAATCAAGTATAGTAGAGTAATGCATACCCGAGTATCAAAATTGTCCTCTATAAGAATTTTAGATGGCTTATTGTCTTTGTGTATGATATGCGGATGATCAAAATTGTCCTCTATAAGAATGTTAGATGGCTTAATGTCTTTGTGTATGATATGTGGATGACGTGACAACAGGACATATAATAAGAATAGCCAAATGCTTTTAGAGGTTACCACTGAGACATAAAAAAAACTTATCTTTAATGGTGATTCATTATGGAATTTAGCATCCAAAGCAACAAAATATGATTTAAAGTGACAAATGAAATTCTAATACCATGTAACTCACAAAGGTTAGAGTGATATAGTTTAAAAACTCACCAGGAACAGATTTCTTATTCGTTGGATCTTTTTTCCCATCGGCAGCAGGTTTTATCTGTCAAAGAAACATAGCCATATGAGTGGTAGGATATTAACGTATGATTATGAAGTTAAATCTCTCACTGTGAGCTTATAGAAGAACAAATAAAGCCTTGAAATTGTCTCAGACAAATAATGTGCAATGTACAGAAATGATAACTCTTACTAAAGAATCTAGAAGAGAGATTTTGTAAGTACCAGAGGAGGGAAGCAATCCTCGGCTGCACGGCGAGGAACAGAGAAGCCTCTATGGGTGCAGCTATCAGAAGCAATGAGGGTTTTGCACAACATGTGAGGAGTATTTGACCTCTTGAGCACTTCATAATCTTCCTCTCCACCATCAACATATATAACTCCCTCACACACTTTCCTCTCAATGTCTTGTGATAAATCAAACTCATATTCTCTGTGCCCGAGTAGTATTCCAAACCAGGATTCGAGTCTAGAGAAAATACTCACCTCAGACTCAAGAAGAAGAGAGACTTGAGCATAAACTTCATCTGTAGTCTACGAAAATCAAACCAAATTTGATTCATCTTCAGAACAAATTCCGTAAAACAGCAAAACCAAAAGTGCAGGCAATTTTAATGGGTTTCAAATGTTCTTACTCAAATGCTACGAGAGTAAATGCAAATTGAACTCACAAACTAACCAAAAACAACCTCTGAACTCAAATACCTGAACTCAAATGTGCTTAAACAATCTCCGAACTCAATTTCTTCTTCCTAAGGTCATTTGTTGAGAATCAGAACCATCCTCTCCGCCTCAAGCCTCCGTTGCTGGTTCTCGAGCTTAGCCTTCTCCATATCTCTCTCCTTCTTGCTCCGATGTCTCATCCACTTCATCCTCTGCTTCTCCATCTCCACCGCCTCCCACTCATACCCAAACTTCCTCTCTTCCTCGCTCCACTGCCTTTCTCCTCACCCACTCCTTCTTTTCCCAAGCGCTCTTCCCAACGTCCTCCAATACACGCGCTGCCTCCTCCCTCAGCCGCTTCACCACCGGCGATACTTCTCCCCCTTTCCTCCGCTTCTTCCTCGTCTCATCTTCCTCCTCCTCCTCTGTATCCTCCATCTCCGACTCCGAATCTCCCGCCATATCCGACTCTTCCTCTTCCTCACTCTCCGCGATTCTAGTCATTTTCCCCGAATCCGCCGCGTGAAGACAACTCGGCTGCTCCAGACATGCTGAATCGGATTCTGATGCGATTGCGGCTGAGACTGAGGTCGGTCGTGACACCGAGATGGCCACAACTGTTGTGATAAGCGTAGTATTGAGCAATTTCTTGACTTCGTCTTTCAATTTGGGAGTCAGATGATCCATGGTCTCGAGCCAAAATCCGATTGGGTTGCAAAATCCCAGTGACAGAGGAGTTTAAGATCTCAAAATCAACCTAAATCAAAGAACTCTCTGGATCGTGACTTGTTCTTATTTTGTTCTAGATTAGTTCAGTTAAGGGTAGCATATATTAAACTGATGGTATTTTTAAACAAGTTTTTGCTGATGATACTTTTGAAAATAGAGGTATCGAAAGTAGTAGTTTAAGAAATTTTCCAAATTTAATTGGCTACACAATATTCAATAAATAAAAAAGATAACATTAAGATATGCAAACAATTTATATTGTAAAACAAAAAACAATCTCCAAAACAATTTATATGATAGAAAAGGGAATTAAAAATTATATGGTATTCACAATCTAAAAACTAACATTTATCAATAAAATTTTACTAATAAATATAAAAATTTATCTATTACTAATAAAAGTTGATGCTAAATGCCTCTAAGGGTGTCCACATAGGATTTAAAGATTCAATTATATTGGTACACATCATCATTATTTTTAGTTAATTATATATTATATATTAAAATTAATTAATTTAATTTAATTGTTATAAGGAAAATTTTTAAATTTTAATTAATTTTTTTTTGTTGTTATTAGGAAAATTTCTAAATTTTAAGTTAGTTATTAATAAAAAAAAGAGTTTAGAAAATAGATCTTATTTTTCTATTAACAATAAAAAGGTAAATTAACATATAAATAGATTATGAAAGAAAAATCATATATATTGAACAAAATTATTAAAAACTGTATTTAAAACCATAATTAAATTATTTAAAAATTTTAATCACGACAAACAATTAAAATCTGAACTGCTAACTTAAAATATATTAGGTATAGTCTATGTTGATGTCTTAGGCCAATGAGGGCGTCCACATAAGACATATATACTCAATCTAATTAGTCTATATCAGCGTTTTTCATTAAACATAAAAAACAAAAAAATATTATTAATAATTTAAATAAATTAAAACATACAAAATATAAAATTATCACAATAGAATAGAAAATTAAGATAATTTTTTTAACTAAATAAAATAAATTTATGTCAAAAGTCTAAATCAATTGTGAAAATAAAATAGAAACTTATTGTCACAAAAACTAAACTAACAAAAAGAAATAAGTAAATCAATAACGAAAAAGTTAAATTAAAAAAAAGTTAGCATATATATTTTAAATGAGTAATTTATTTAGAAAAAAAATATTAAGATTAAATTTTCATATAAACATATAAAATTGTTATTTAAAATATCAATACTACAAAAAAATATTCATCGTAAATAAAAAGAAAGTCATCTAAAACTTATAATTTTGGGGGAAATATTTTAAAAATTAACACAAAAACCTTAACAAACTAAAAATGATACTTTATGCTAATTACTAAAGAAAGTAATATAAAAAATGTTTAACTAACAAAAACCAAACCATAAATTATTTAGTCAATACAATTAAAATGAAAGTCCATATCGAGAAAGTTAAATTAACAAAAAAAGAGGATATTAACTTAATATCTATGTTATTTATTTAACAAAATCAAAATAAACAGAATAAGTAAGATAATAAAAAAAATTTAAATAATACTAAAAACTTAACTAACAAAAATAATATAAATATTTAGGCTAATTATTTAAGAAATCAATATTAAGAAATTAATTAACTAAAAAATTAAAACGAAAATTAAGTTTTACAAAAAATTATTTTTTAAAAAAACACTTAAAAATATATTGATTTGATATCTGACTAACTACTTAAAAAATTATATAAAAATATTTAACTAACAAAAATTTATTCCTTCAAAATATCAATATTTTAAAAATGATGGTGTGTTAAAATAAAATAAAAATTAATATCAGGAGAGGTAAATTATCAAAGGAAAAAGTCGTATAAAGTAAAATTAGCTTGATATTTAGGCTAACTACCAAACAAATATTAACTAAAAAAAGCAAATGATAGTATAAGCTTTTGAGAGAAGTTCACTTAAAATTTAGAATAACCAGTTATATAGCATGTCAAAATAGTATTTTAATTAATTTAAAAAGTTAATTTAATAAAGAAAAAGCATTTATGTAAAATATATTAGATTAATATATATGCTACCTATTTGAAAAATCAATAACAGAAGAGATTAATTAAAAATATATATGTTTTAAGTATATCAAACCTGCAGAAAATTAGATAATTAAAATAAAATATAAAATTACCATTAAAGATATTTAAAATAACGAAAAACAAGATCTAAGAAGAAAATTAGTTTGAAATATAGTTCCAAAAATATTCATGATTTCTAAAATATTGGTGTTGACTATGAATAACCATATAAAGTTTTTATAGGTTATACAAGTTTTTAAATCAAACATATTATTTAAATTTACAAAGATTAATACCTTGGTTGCGTCTGGTTGAAAAATTAACAAAGTAAAATACTACACAAGTAACTTTACATTCAAAATATAATAATTAATAAAGTCTGATTTGTATACATATTTACTGGTTATAACTTAGTCAAAATGAACAACAGATGAGCAACATCCTCTAAAATTTTATTTAAATAATATAATATGACAAAGTTATGAATCAAATTCAAATGGGAATATATGAAAATAAAATATTCAAATCAAAACATGAATAAACACACAAAAGATAAAAAAAAAGTGATAATGTGAAGTGTCAACATCATCTTACATGTTTAAATAAAATATTAGCAAATAGTTGACTGCAAATAAAACAGATCTTATAAACTGAATATAGATATAACCTAAAATTTGTAAAAGATCTGGTGGAGAAGCAAAAAGCAGCATTACACGATTAGTGTAGCTTACTAACAAAAGTAAATCTGAATCAACATATATCATATATTATATATGTATATGTACACAACATTAGTGAGATATTTAGTAAATAAACTAAATATTTAAACATATAAACCTTTAAAGAAAAAGAACCATAGAACTCCTAAGGATACAAAACAAAAAACCAAAAATTTAGTAAGAAAATCATTTTCATATTCAAACATATGCACATCGAGGTTGGATAATTCGTTAGGTGTCATTACTATGATTTTACTTAATAAGATTTATAATTTTATAAAAAAAAAATAGGAAATACTACATATGAGGTTTTATTTTTTTTTATAAAAGAAAATTTCTACAAATATATTATAATTTTGATAATTTAAAAGATATTAGCTAAAAAATTAAACCAAATTATTAATACAGACTCGCATGTAGCACGAGTTAAAAGCTTAGTAATATATAAAAATTGAAGGCATAGTGCATTTAGGACGTCCACATAGGATTAAAAACTCGATCTGATTGGTCAACATCAGCATATTCATTAAATACAAAATGTTAAGTATGATTAAAATATTAATTTCGTTTTAAAATGGAAAAATTAAATAAAAAAGTTCAGTAACAAATAGAAAAAAATTATGTTAAAAACTGAAAAATAGTATCTTTAAAAATAAAATAGAAATTTGTTTTCAAAAGAGTTAAACTAACAAAAAAAACCAATATCATAAAAGTTCAAACTTATCATATAGATTAGGAAAATTCTAACTTCTAAATTAATTTATAAGAAAATAAAAACATTAATTTCATTTTATATATGGAAAAATCAAAATAAAAAGCTTAAATAACAAATAGATAGAAAATTATGTTAACAAAACTAAAATATAGCATCCGTCAAAATTTAAAACATTAATTTTATTTTATAAATAGAAAAATAAAAATAAAAACGCTTAAATAAAAAATAGAAAAAAAATTATGTTAAAAAACGAGAACAAATAGTATTCTTAAAAATAAAATGAAAATTTGTTTTCAAAAGAGATAAACTAACAAAAAAAAAACCAGTATCATAAAAGCTAAAACTTATAATATAGATTAGGAAAAATCTAACTTTTAAATTAATTGACAAGAAAATAAAACAAATATTAATTTCGTTTTATAGATGGAAAAATAAATAAAAAATCTTCAGTAACAAATAGAAAAGAAAATTATATTAAAAACCAAAATATAGTATCCTTTAAAATTAAATAGAAATTTAATGTAAAATAGTCAAACTAACCAAAAAGAAATATCGTAATAGTTAAAACGTATAGTATAGATTAGAAAAATTTATAACTTACAATGCATTGCACATATACAAATATATAGTATTAACATCATATATTGTCTAGATGCTATTAGAAAACTGATCATCATCAATGACGAGAACTTTCTTTGTCCATTTAAACTAATGATATCGCCAATGGTGGAAGTCATAATAAAATAAATGTTCACTCGCAGTTAAAAAGATATGCATGCTTTCCCAACAACTCATTTATATATTCTAATCTGGAATACAATCTATGTTTACTTACCACCTTTTCACATTTTCTAAACAGTGGACCAATTGTTCGTGTTACTCTTCCCCCAATTTTCAAAGAAAAATAATGAAAAGTGTTGTCAAACCTGTCGTGCTCCTGGCCACAATTATGAACCCAAAAACATTTCAAGGTTTGTAATCTAAAACATATAATTACCATTATTTTACTATTATTTATGAAAATATGATGAATCCTGAAATAAATTAGATAATATGATTTATTTAACTCTTAACATCATACTTTAAATTGCATCATGTAGAAGTATTATTTTTGAACTCCACTTTTTCCACCCGGTTTTTTTTCCGACAAAGATATTGAAGCAACTACTGACTATACTGACTATTTGACATGGTAAGTACGCTTGCATGCATATACCTCACCATACTTTTATTTCCTATTGTGTTGGTAGATATGAAACCAAACTGTTTTAAAGCTATTATGATATGATGAGAAAAACATGTTTTTATTAAAAAGCTTTTTTTAGCTTTCAATATGTTATAAAATTATGTTTCAAAATAAAATAGGAATCATTATCAAAAGAGGCAAATTAACAAAAGAAAAATCGTTTAAAAGAAAACTAACTTGGGCTAAAAATTTTGAAAATCAATATAAAAAAACTTA